GAATTAAGAAGGAGGGGGGAATTAAGAAGAAGGGGAGGGAGGATTAAGAAGAAGGGAAGGGGGAGGGATTAGAAGAAGGGGGAGAGGTGCAGGGATTAAGAAGAACAGGGGGGTGGGGAGATTAAGAAGAACAGGGGTATTGGGTGAATTAAGATGAACGGGGGGTTAAGAAGAACAGGGGGAGTAAGAAGACACAGAGAGGAGGGGGAAGAGTAAGAAGGACACAGGGAGGAGGGGGGAGAAGGGGAGATGAGGAGAACACAGGGAGGGTGGGGGAGTGAGAAGAACACAGGGAGGGTGGGGGAGTGAGAAGAACACAGGGAGGGAGGGGGCTGAAAAGAACACTGGAGGTTTGGGGGGGGGGATGAGAAGAGCACAGGGAGGCTGGGTGGGTGGGTGTGAGAAGTGACTGCTAGGGTAGGGGGGGGAGAGACCACTAAGGGCAGGGGAGAGCTCTATAGGACAGGGGGCAGGACAGGGAGCTCTTTCACACTACGTGCACACACATACAATGCATCCCTATACATACACAAACACACAATGCATCCCTACACACACAGAAACACAACATGCTTCCCTTACACAAGGAGAAACACACAATGCATCCATTACACACAAAGACAATGCATCCTTTGCACACATACACAGAAACACACAATGCAAACCCTTACACACACATGCAAGCACACACACTGCTTCTCTTACATATACACAGAAACACAATGCATTTCATACACACACTCAATGCACACACTTACAGACACACACCTTGCAACCCTTATGCATACAAACACAGATTCACACAATACATCGCTTATACACAAACACACACTGCTTCCACTACAAACAAATACACTGCATTACCTACACTGGTATCCCTATACACTACATACCATAAGCACACACATTAGATCCTCTACAATAACACATAACACATCCCCTATACACCTCACTCCCTGTGAGCGAACTCATGGGTGGAACATGTAGGTGGACTTTTAGGTGGGCCTTATGGGCATACTGACAGTCAGGCCCTGGGACCCAGACCTTGAGCTGTTTAAGGGGCCCCCAAGAAATGGAGCTGCTTCCCATTCTTCTAGAACTTTGAATTTTGTGACCACAGTTACAAACAGCCTTCAGAGATCCTGTTCTACACCAGACCAGTGGAGCCAAACTGCAGCCCATCATCATCCTCATCTGGTTGTAAGTAGGCAATCTAGTATATTATTTCTGACACTAATCTATAATTTACCTCACATTAAAGGGACACTATAGTCCCCAGAACCACTTCAGCTTAATGAAGTGGTTCTGGTGTCTATAGCCGGTCCCTGCAGGCTTTTTAATGTAAACACACACTGTGTGCAGCATTGGCATTAGTTCATATGGCAAATCATATAGGTGGGGCATTGTGATGTCACATGGGGGGGCGGCAAACTTTTCTTTTGCCTAGGGCAGCAAAAATCCTTGCACCGGCTCTGATCCTGGGCATGTGCACCAGTCTACTGGTGACCCACAGGCACTGATTGCACTGAACTCTACTCCTGCCCAGACCTGTCTTTACCGCAGTGCAAGTGCCCTCTGCCCCTAATTTACAGTGGCTCACACTCACAGCAAGCAGTGCCTGGAGCACTTTGCAGCGACGGGAACAAAGAGGTTCTGCGGCAGCTGGCTGTCCTGCAAGCATTACATTAAACAATTGTTCCCCATGCAGCCACAGGTGGCTCTGTGCTGGGAGAATGTGATTACTCTTCACTTCCTCCCAGCCTACAGAGCAGTGCATGGGAGAGAGAGAGGAGGAGGAGACATGATTTAATCTTACAACAAATCCACTAAGCAAATCTTTATAAATTTGGGGGGGGGGGGGATCAGCTCTGTTTCCACAGTTTATTGGTGTTTACTCTGATGTTGGTATAAATATTGAGGGATTTCTAAGTAGTAACATCAGTGTGTGTCAGCAGGGCCAGCCGTTGGGGTGTGCAAGCTGTGCGGTCACGCAGGGTGCCATGGCAACAGAGGCCTCCGGCGGCCAACACAGCTCACAAGTTGGGGACACCAGCATATTCAATTTAAACGATTCACTGGTGGTCCACTGGTGCGCACCAGCAGTAGATGCAGTCAGATCATATCCTCTCCCTCGTGGTTCCGGTGCTCAGTTAGTGAGTCAGAGCACAGGCTCAGAGATTCGTAGCCTGCGCTCTGACAACATTGAAAGTCAGAGCCATGAAGGAGCAGGTATGGCAAAGAGCTACTGATTAGCATAACATCAATATCCGTTATAAAACCAGGAAAAGGTGGGCGTGGATGGTGAACTGATTTGGTGGTGCAATGGGCCACTTGACTGGTTTTGCCCCCCAGGCCTAAGGCTGCCAGCCCTCCCCTGTATTCAGACGACTTCTCTGTTTGCGCATAATATGATTTCTCATCTGTGCGCCAGATCCCCTCCTCTCCCTCCTCAGTTCCCCTCCCCACCTTTTTTTTTTAACCTTCTCTATAGCAATGCCCAGTAGGAAGGCTGAGCTAGGTATCCCACTTACGATTACTTACTATAGCCCACTATAACAGACAGACACACATACATACAGACACACACACATGACACATACATACAGACAGGCACACATGCATACAGACACAAACATAAGACATACATACAAAGACACACACATAAAGACAGACACAAGACTCACATACATACAAAGACACACACATAAAGACAGACACAAGATGCACATACATACAAAGACAAGACACACACACATACACAACACATACATACAAAGACAAGACACACATACATACATATATACAGACAGACACATACAAAGACACACATACAGACACACACAAAACATACATACAAAGACACATACACACACAACACATACAAAGACAAGACATATATACAGACACACACACACATATATACAGACACACGACAAAAAAACACACATACATACAAAGACACATACACAAACAAAACCTTTTAGATGCAGGAGGGTGACTTTCCCTGGGGTCCAGTGGTGGCTCAGGAGGATGGGAGTCAGAGTTCACACTCTGACTCCCTCCTCCTTCCTCCCGCGCGGTCTGTGTGTTAGCTGGGAGGAGTGACTTGCAGTCACTTCCTCCCAGCTCTGTGATGTAATCACAGGGGGCCCGGTCGTGCTGTTAAAGTGCCCAGCGCTGACCGGGCCCCCTTACAATCCGCGTCCATCAGGTGGCCATGACAGCATGGGCCACCCGATGGACCCCTACATATGCGGCCCCGACGGTTTGCCGTGCGGGTCGGGGCCGCAAGTGGTGATAGCGGTACCCGGTCGCAGGGTTACCGCCGGCTCGCACCCACCTGCCAGCCCAATCTAGCAAAATTAGAAAATCCCTACTGCCCACCTGGAATCCTGAAACGACCACTAGTGGGCGGTAGGGACCAGGTTGACGACCCATGATATAGACACTGAAAAAAGTACAACATATGGAATGAGATACAGCATAATACTTATCCAACAAGTGGACTAACATATGATGAATACTAAAGTTAGAAAACACAAAACTGTTCAAAGACCGTTTTGGAAAATGCATACAGAGCAAGAGAGAGACGTGATCAGAAGAAGAAACTGGCGGAAGAAGGAGTGGGAATTGAGGAGAGGGAGATAAAATGGGAGAGGGTCCTCAGGCCTCAAAGATTTTTGTTTTCTGAATTTTTTTTTTTGTTTTTTTTTTTCTATCAAGCCTGTATTATTAACCATATAGCAGTCTCTTTATTTATATTCCATTGCCTCCAGATCTAATTTAAAGGCTTTACTTACACTTTTGTTAAGTGCCAACTACAAATCCCTGGGCTTGGCAGAGGGATATTGGCACTGGAATTAGGTGAATAGCAGAGAATTGAATAGCAAGACTGCAGGGACAAGATCCATACACTAAAATTGTTTCATTAGAGGGACACTATAGTCACCAGAGCAACAACTTATTGAATTTGTTCTGGTGAGTAGAATCATTACCTTCAGGCTTTTTGCTGTAAACACTGTCTTTTGAGAGAAAATGCAGTGTTTATATTACAGCCTAGTGATAACTTCACTGGCCACTCCTCAGATGGCGGTTAGAGATCCTTCCTGGGTCATGGCTGCCTAAAATGCATCCAAACATTCAGTATCTCCTCCCTCTGCATGCAGACACTGAACTTTCCACATAGAAATTCATTGATTCAATTCATCTCTATGAGAAGATGCTAACTGGCCAGTTCTGTGTTTGAATTGTGCTGGCTCTGCCCCGGATCTGCCTCCTTGTCAGTCTCAGCCAATCCTATGGACAAGCATTGT